CCATTCAGTCCCCACTCAGCCCGTTTTGCCCAGTTTCTTATTTTTCGAAAATCTTTTCAAAAGAAATAAAAAAAAAACGGGGCTGAGTAGGGACTGAATGACACATGTGCATTACAGTCAATTGGGAACCTATACCTTTCTCGCACAGATGTTAGCTTCAGCACGATACACGGACGGTATAGACAATTCTTCTTCCAGTAACATATGGTTTAAAAATCAGATACAAGAGCTTACTAAGCGCTTAGTGAGCGATTGCGCTCCTGGATATCTACCAATAGAATGGCGCTATTAGTGCGTCCGGAAAAATTCAGTCCCGGAACTTTTTGAATGCACTGTGTTATTATGTAAGGTCTGTTTTTTATAGCTGAGCTGGGCTACGCTAGTTCAGAGTTTTTCTTCTTCGAATGAAGAAAGAGAAAGATAAATTGTGAACTAGTGCAGCAATTCAGCTATAAAAAACAGGCCTTGTATATTCGTAACGCAATTTGGAAAATTGTAATTTTAGAAGGTTGAATTAATTAATGTGTCATATTTACATTGATTAATAATAAATTCATATACGTTAACGTAATTTTTCAGGATATGGCCAAGAAAGAGGCAGTCTAGTGACTAAGTTATATAACAATCACTGGCAAGCGTTAGATGTAATCTTATTAGAAAATATTCCATGGTACTTGCTGGTTTACCTACATTCCATTACGATAACATGTAATAAGCAACAAGTACGTCCATGTAAGTAAACCTAAAGTAACAAATTTAAGATAACGTAAATGGAGCTGCCAGTAAATTTATTCGTTGTGAGACACGTGTACGATTTAGGCGATCGGTAAAATTTATAAAAGAAGTTTTATTATGAAAACTACAACATGATTAAATATCGGTACATTTTTTATATCATTACAGTAGCGCAACGTTATTTACCTGGAAGGGAGAGGAAAAGCCCGTACTATTTAGAATTAATCCTGCGCTTGCCGCCGCACTCGGTGACGAAAATCACTGTCGACATGGATTACTTATTCCTCAAGTGGCAGGAATATCCGCCGGACGCTAATCACGGTTTTTATATGGGACCGGCTATAATTACAGCCTTATTGCCCATAGCTAGAAATTACACTGCTTTGCCGCTCGATGGAAGTACAATCACTTCAAGGTTCGTTTAGTTCAATAGCTTGTCTCTCTTCTGCCAGATCAGCAACACAAATGAAAATCTTTTTTTTTTCCTCCTGTTGTCATCGTAAGCAGAATAGGTGACGATTGAAGTAATTATCGATTAAATTTACAGTTTTAACGCTTCACGGGACGATTATCTAGTACAATTGCGGACAGAGTCCCTGCTCATCAGTCTTCCGACTCCCGATTTCAGTATGCCTTATAATGTCATATGCCTTGCTTGTACAGCTGTCGCGCTAGCATTCGGTCCGCTTCACAACATTTCCACGAAGCGACTGGTTTTAAAACGCATTGAAAAGGACTGGAAAGGTAAAGTATTCTCCTTTTTTGTAAAAATATTCGGAGCAAAGAAAAAACAAGACTAAAACTGTAAACAAACTGTATGTATTATAAACGCGTATAGACTGTATCTCTCTTGCGAATAAATATATTCATGTACTTCCCCATGAATAATAAACAATTTTAATAGTAAACAGATTAAAAATTTTCTGTTATTTTGTATACATACAATCATCGCAGAAATTACGGCGAGACAAAAATATCTCTGAACTTCTTTCCTAGCAAAAGATATATATACGCCTGTATATAAAACAAAAAATCACTTTGAATCTGTATCCAATGATATTGTAAAATTTTTTAAGACCTGTAATAAGTATTAAATAGTTCCTTCACGTATTCCACTCTGTACTGTATGCTTACATATTTCTATTTAAATTATCCATTTATATACAGGGATCAAACTTATGTTAATATTATGTAATAGTAGATTTCCACAAGATAACAAACTGTATTCTTCAACTATCAGATACATGATAAGCTATTAGGGGTGTCTCTTGTTAAGTTTAAAAAAAAGAGCATAACAACAATCAACATAAAATATCTTTAAATATTGAGAATGTAGAAGTTTTCAAATAAGCAATGAAAATTATTCATATTTCTGCGTACTTGGAAAACTAAGCGATACACATTGCTTTGTCCATCATTATATCGCTGCTATAATTCGCGCGTAAATAATAATCATAAAAAGTTGAATTGCTTATTGTTTAAAATTATCACGCAACATTCCAGTATATTTTTATTTTACTTTCTCTTTTCTCAACTCTTCCTCTCCTCTCTCTCTCCCTTCCTCCC